GCTGTGAATCGACCCCTGCAACCACAAAGAGGTAAGTCCACACACTGGTTTATCTGCTACAGAGGCACTGTTGTAGCAGCTGCAGGAGGCCACATAGTGCGGTACAAGCTATTGAAGCACCTGCCTTAATCCAAACATGTTCCTGCTTCTAATTGGCCTTCACTTAATTAACAACAACGATTATTTCACTCTCATTCTGGGTGTACGTACGTGTGTGTGTGTGTGTGTGTGTATGTGTGTGTGTGTGTGTGTGTGTGTGTGTGTGTGTGTGTGTGTGTACTCCACAGACTCTTAACTGAAGGTCTCACAGCAGTCTCTTTCTCTCTCTCTCTCTCTCCCTCATAATGGTAACATCTGCTTCATTATGAGAGAACAGAATCCATCTTTTGTCAGATATGGCTATATATGGCTACCATACTAGAGCCACAACCACAAAGGGGGGTGTACTTTCCATTGTAATGCTCCAGTACCACTGGCACTTGGTTGCAACTTTTCTAAACCTCGACATTATTATATTATGGCAGGCTTCTTGCTTGTCGTTATCGGCTGTATGTTGTGGATTGCCACTCTGTCACTGCCCTCTGGGTGTTGGGTAAACTCAGGTGCCATGACATGAGTCTCGAATCTCTCTCTATTTGCTGTGAAAATATTGACGTCATAATTATCAAAACAAGACAGTACAACGCCACCATCCAATGTTAGTTCCTGAGATTCATGAAGTCCCTCACGGTGGTCAGCAGTTTGCCTAGCAGCAGATGATCGATGATTGAGAACTTTAGTCATCAGCGTCTGTGAAACCATAATCCTGCATTAAAGAGACTAGCCACTTTGATCCGAGTCTATGATGTAACTTGTAGTTAGTAAACTGGTCTCGTTTATTGTATGTGTAATATGTTGTTGGATGCGTTGAGACAAGTCCAGAAATTTCCGTGTGATTTTCACCCTCAGACAACAACGCAAATACTAATGTGAGGAGTGTGTCACTCGTGTCTGACATCGTCTTGTTGTGAGTAAATTGTTCAAGGTCGTAGTCAGTTGGCTTTCGCAATAAGGGGCCTTCACATTTACGTACCACGTATGATAAATGCACATCATCAGAATCATTAGTTTCTACAACCTTGTTTTAAACACCTCATCATGAAAACACAACAGACTTGCACAGTCATCTACACGTGGCCCTGAAATTTGATTACCGAAGTACTCGACCAGTTTCCCCTAACATATATTCACATGACATACTACCACCATTACTTATGTACCTCTCATACAAGTCTGCTGTTGTCTACGTTTGATACTCATTGTTGCGCATGTTATTTATTTCATTAATACAGCAGAATCATTGACTGCATTCATATTTAGGAGTTTCTATATCAGTTTTTGTTGCATTGTGCTTCTGCTACATGCAAGTCACGTGTTGCATCTTCAAGACAAACCTCGATTACTTTGAGCTCAGCTGTTATTTCATTATAGTATTTTTCCCTGTTATTCTTGCATTCTCCTCCAGATTTTGTCCCAGTCACTTGTTTGGTATTGTGTCGAAGGACTACTCTGCAGTTCACCCATTTTCTCTCTCTCTCTCTCTCTCTCTCTCTCTCTCTCTCTCTCTCTCTCTCTCTCTCTCTCTCTCTCTCTCTCTCTCTCTCTCTCTCTCTCTCTCTCTCTCTACTTACGTTACCCTGTCACGGAACAAAACAGGTTTGTTAGACAGAATTTAACATCTCTAAAGCCGTTTAGGTTGTGTATTAACCTCTCCTCTCCAAGTGCTCCACCACTCTTCTCATTATCTTCTCCATTACCTTGCATGGTATTCATGTCAGTGGCACTGGCCTGTATTTTACTGCTATCTGTTTGTCCCTTTTCTTAAATATTGGAATTGCATTTGCTGTCTGTACCTTCTGTATTTTTTTTTTCTACGTACTTGTGGTATTTTTTTCCATGGTGAATAACTATTAAAATGATTGTAAAAACAACTGGAGTTAGGAACACAACACTACCACTATCACTGTGCTACTACTACTAGTACAGTTACTGACTGCCACAATAATTTTACTACTAGTATCACTGCTACCGCTACTGCTGTTTCTACTGCTTCTGACGCCTCTTCCACTTCTGCCGTTGATGCCGCTGCCATCACTGCCGTTGTCACCGCCAGACAGTTGTTATGGCTACCATTGCACAAAATCACCACCATCACCACCACCGGCCGAGCATGGCCACTATCACTGGGCATCAGTGTGGGACCAAGTCTTGTGTGTGGGAGCCTCCAGGTCTTGCACTATTACACCAGACCATATTTCCTCGTAATGGACAAAGTTAAATTGAAAGTTGACCCTTGGGTGATGGTCGTGAGTACCTGCAGAAGTGAGCGTTGAGCAGACGTGGGTGTCACCGGCCCTCCTGCGACTCTTGACTCCTGGCGCAGGGAAGAACAACCACCACAGGACTCCTGCAGTAGATGATAATGGTATTTCTTCGAGGGGGAGGAGGGAGGCGGGTGCCTTGATACTGGGGAAATGCTCGTGATCCTAGGAGTTGGAGCTACACTCGCATTTCTTAGTCTAAACCTGATTGTCATTTCCCAGGCGGTTCAGAGCTTCCTCATGAATTAATAATAATAATATTATTATTATTTCTTATGAATGGAACATATCCTCATTATACACTTTCATATTCTTATGCAATTTCCAGCTCATTTTAAAGTCATGTCTTATCCATGGTATGCTAGCACCCTGTCCTGGATAACACCCACAAGAGTCAACCAGCAGGGACTAAAACCTTGTTCGAAGGTTCCTCTCTACGTGTGAGCTATTTTCTGACATTTTAGACACACAGTTTCGATTTGTATTCTTGATATTTTTTATGGTGTTTGTAACTAAGGCTGGTTTTTGTCGCCTCTGACTGGAGAACGAAAGACTGGTAACTGACAGTCGTGATGCCATATCTGAAGGATGTCTTCTACGGTGGACGCCTTCCCATGGCCCGATTCCAGACCAAGTCTACCGGTGGATCAAGGCCTGATCAACCAGACTGCTACTGTTGGCCTCACGCAGTCCAACTTGCTTATCACAGCACGGCTGATCAGGAACTGACCTGAGGAACGTTTCGCCACACAGTGGCTTCATCAGTCCAATACAAAGAAGAATAGTGAAGATCAGAATGAAATTGAGGTAATCAGTCCCTCAAATTGGAGTCAATGTAATCGGTCCATCTAATAAAAGAGTAAGGGAGGGCTGTTGGTAGTCCCCCTTATGTATGAGTGAGGGAGGGAGGGAACGCTTCTGTTCAAAACAGCAAAGAGTGGTAGTAAGTTAAACAAAATCCAGTTTTAGTAAAGTCAGAAGTTGAGTACCGCAAGGCACGTCCTGACACCTTCACAGGTGGCCTGGTGGCTAAAAGCTCACGCTTCACACACGGAGGGCCCGGGTTCGATTCCCGGCGGGTGGAAACATTTCGACACGTTTCCTTACATCTGTTGTCCTGTTCACCTAGCAGCAAATAGGTACCTGGGTGTTAGTCGACTGGTGTGGGTCGCATCCTGGGGGACAAGATTAAGGACCCCAATGGAAATAAGTTAGACAGTCCTCGATGACGCACTGACTTTCTTGGGTTATCCTGGGTGGCTAACCCTCCGGGGTTAAAAATCCGAACGAAATCTTATCTTATCTTATCACTGATTCTCATTTTTCATAGCAGAGACCTATAAAAAGATTGACAGTATTTTCTAACCTATTTTTAAAGTAACTAAAAGTACTTGCTTCAGTGACGCTGCTTGAATGAAGGTAACAATCAAGAAGAAATTGGACAGGTTTCTTTTCCAGAATAACCCGGATCAACCGGTTTGAAATGACTGTGTAAGTCCCTGTATGTTCTCGGTTAGCAACAGCCTGGCTGGTCCGGTGCTCACTAGGACAGCCTCAAAGCCAGCTCCTGGCGTAGAACCCCATGTAAAAAAATAAGACACTGCAGGATAAGTCTTTATTGAGACACGTGTCGCTCGTTCTACAACCTGTATTTTTTCAAGGACTCTTGAAAGCAGTCACATGTACGACACAGCATGTTAGACAGGTTGCTGAAACTGACTGAACAGGTTGTATTATGTAAGTCACTGTTTCTGGCGACAACCCTTCACTTATCTAATTATTATTATAATGGGGAAGCGGTAAACCCTTTGGGTCATACAGCGCCGGGAAATGTGAGACAGTCAAATTCGATCCAGAGAAAAGGAGGATAGGTTTAATTCTTTGGTTTAAGAACCCATCACACTACCTAAGGAGAATACAAGTTTACTACCTAAGCAGAACAGTTTAAGCAGAGCACAGTCTAAGCAGAGCAGCCTTCCTGAGCAGAGCAGCTATAGCTCCTGGAACCCTCCAGCTCTGCACCACCCGGCCTTATCCACTGTATATACTCTGTGATTTTTATTTTCTATATTGGATCAAAAAAAAGGCCTCAGAGTGTTTTATAAACTGGTGTCAGTATTTTTCATTTAATATTTTCTGGCCCCGGTAAATAGCGGATAATTGAAACGGCGGAAAATTTAAACCGCGGATGCGGGGGTTTCTACTGGACAATTTGCTTCATTCTTTTGGGAGGGGGGGGGGATTGTTCTTGAATATGTATCCTAATTACCACATGTATTTCTCATGCATACATGTCGGTGTTAGTGAACATTTTTAACCTGTTTACTCTAATAAAACACATTACATAAAGTCCCTGGTGGTTGAAACGTCTCAATACAGTGTTGAAAAACTACACTTTGTGCCTTATTAATGTATTTCTCGGTGTATTAAACCGTTGATATACCATACTTGTGGGTATATTAAACCATTGATATGCCATACTTGTCGAAGTATTAAACCATTGATATACCATACTTACCGAGGTATCAAACCATTGATATACCATATTTGTCGGTATATAAAGCCATTGATATACCATATTTGATATACAACTTGTATACTGGCCAGGAGTATTACTTAAACACTTTCTCTGGTTGACAGTGGTGGAGTCCATCTTGCGAGGCGAGAATGTAGGCATCACCCCGCGACGCTCCCGCACCGCAACCAACAACCATCACCAGTCTGGGGTAAGTCAACAAACACTCTTATTCTCCTTTTTTTATGTTTAACAAAGTTAGTTTCATCTGTAGTGTGCTGCTGCTTTACTGCATGTGATAGGTTGTGGGAACACCCACAGTGTTCTGCTACCCTGCTGCATGTGATAGGTTGTGGGAACACCCACAGTGTTCTGCTACCCTGCTGCATGTGATAGGTTGTGGGAACACCCACAGTGTTCTGCTACCCTGCTGCATGTGATAGGCTGTGGGAACACCCACAGTGTTCTGCTACCCTGCTGCATGTGATAGGTTGTGGGATCACCCACAGGGTCCTGCTACCCTGCTGCATGTGATAGGTTGTGGGAACACCCACAGGGTCCTGCTACCCTGCTGCATGTGATAGGTTGTGGGAACACCCACAGGGTCCTGCTACCCTGCTGCATGTGATAGGTTGTGGGATCACCCACAGTGTTCTGCTACCCTGCTGCATGTGATAGGTTGTGGGAACACCCACAGTGTTCTGCTACCCTGCTGCATGTGATAGGTTGTGGGAACACCCACAGTGTTCTGCTACCCTGCTGCATGTGATAGGTTGTGGGATCACCCACAGTGTTCTGCTACCCTGTTGCATGTGATAGGTTGTGGGAACACCCACAGTGTTCTGCTACCCTGCTGCATGTGATAGGTAGTGGGAACACCCACAGTGTTCTGCTACCCTGCTGCATGTGATAGGTTGTGGGATCACCCACAGTGTCCTGCTACCCTGCTGCATGTGATAGGTTGTGGGATCACCCACAGTGTTCTGCTACCCTGCTGCATGTGATAGGTTGTGGGAACACCCACAGTGTCCTGCTACCCTGCTGCATGTGATAGGTTGTGGGATCACCCACAGGGTCCTGCTACCCTGCTGCATGTGATAGGCTGTGGGAACACCCACAGGGTCCTGCTACCCTGCTGCATGTGATAGGTTGTGGGAACACCCACAGTGTCCTGCTACTCTACTATATATGATAGTTACATAGCGGGAACACCCACAGTGACCTGTTATCATACTCTATATATAGTTACACTGTGGGAACAAAAGTTATCTGTGTTTCCCTGTCATATACCATCACACTAAGATGAGTTACAATCAAGAGGTAATGAAAAATATCAGCCTGAGCTGGGAGATTTCAGTAAGGCGATGAGGACATCTTCAAATATTCTACAATGGGTTCAGTATCTACAGCAGCTTCAGAGGTTACCTTCCAACAGAACTGGAGTTGCTTTTACATTAAAATTACGGTCTCTCGAGATGACCTAGCCCCCACACGCAGGACAGATGTAACCTTCAGTATTCCATTCTAAAGGAAGGGGTGACATTTGCTGGTGAAGGGCTCTTGATCAGTTGAAATTATGACAAATTCCTTCTTTTCTTTCTCCAAATGTCGTGTTGCTCTTGATGATCTGAGCGGACATCTTATGTTTTCTAGAGAATTTAAGTCAGTTCTCGAGTAAGATGAGCACATTAGTGGCACATACACACTGCAAAGCACGTTTCCACTGGGACAGCGTTTCGTTCTGTGTAGACCTTTATCAAGTCACTGACGTAATAAAACTCTTACTTGTAAGAACATAAGTATCATATTATAAAGATTTTAACAACGTGTTTTTGGTCACTATTGCCTCTAGTACGACACTTGAATCCAAATGCACAATATAAACTTGAAGTAAAACATCTGCATTTACATTAGTGATGCTGTTGAATTTCTCCCCAGTGTGATGCGTTAATGTAAGACTCTTGATCTGGTCACACTTGATTACCTCACATTCCCCAGGCGCTCAGTGACTTATTTCATACAGTTCCACCTTGTTGTCTTGGCTTCAGATGAGTGGTAGTTGTCGAGGTTGGTGAAAGTAAATGTGTACATTGTGCCAGAAGCGTCAGATGTGGTAGCAATGTGACTTTCCACACACCAGCCAGATGCTGTATATGTAACTTGAGATCATGTGTGATGGTACTTCGAATACCAAGCTGCAGCTGGTGCTGATCATTGTGCAATCAGACGTTGCTTTCCGCACAGATCTGTCAAGAAGACTTGCTACTTGGATATAAGGGCGAGATGTGTCCAGGGAGAAATACGTGTATATACAAAACAATCACTCGTGGTGACAACGTTATGCTCTGTGTAACGCTTTACCAACTGTTAATCAAGACTTAATAAAGCTTTATACAAAGTAAGACTATCAAAGCTTGATTTATACACACACACACACACACTCCATACACAGCTTTAAGACGAAGTACGATAAGGCGTTCGAAGCAACGAGAGAGTGAACCCAATAACAGCTAGTGAAGAGACAGGACCAGGAGTCGAGACTCAACCCCTGAAACCTTTTATAATTGGGTACTGTAGAAATGTGTGTATGTATTGTGTGTACTTACCTGTTTGTGGTTGCAGTGTGTGTGTGTGTGTGTGTGCTCACCTATTTGTGGTTGCAAGGGTCGATTTGCAACTCCTGGCCCCACCTTTTCGCTGGTCGCTACTAGGTCCACTCTCTCCCTAATCCATGAGGTTTATCGTATCTCTTCTTAAAGCTATGCATGGATCCTGCCTCCATTCCATCTCTCCAGATATGTGTGTGTGTGTTTTATTCCAGTGGGATGATACTTGGCTTCTTGTGCATTCAGGTTATCTTCACTGAGTATAGCAAGATACCTTTCCTCCTGCAGTTTTAATGACAGTTGGTGCGTTCAAGAGTCATTCTGGAATACTGATGCACCACCAAGGTCTCCAGACTGTCTCAATCACAGAAGAAACCTGGACAACTAGCCACAGAAATAAACCTGTACAACTAGCCACAGAAATAAACCTGTACAACTAGCCACAGAAATAAACCTGTACATCTAGCCACAGAAATAAATCTGTACGACTAGACACAGAAATAAACCTGTACAACTAGCCACAGAAATAAACCTGTACAGCTAGCCACAGAAATAAACCTGTACAACTAGACACAGAAATAAATCTGCACAACTAGACACAGAAATAAACCTGCACAACTAGACACAGAAATAAACCTGTACAACTAGACACAGAAATAAACCTGGACAACTAGACACCAAAATAATCCTGGACAACTAGACAACAAAATGGAGCCGTGTCTACAGATATGTTTAGACGACTGAGCAGGAAAAAAATATAATTCATGGGTGTCAAGGACTTGAAAGTGTTCTTAAAACGTTTATTGAAGTGCATAATCAACGTTGATTTATCGCCGTAACGTTGATTATGTACTTTAGTAAATGTTCTGGTAAGATTTCAATCTCCTAGGGACCTTCGGGGGGAGGGGGGGGGTTTGACCCCAGAAAACCCCTACAGGAAAACCCCGGTTCTTCGGTATCTTGCCAGTATCTTTTTCCTTGTTGTAGATGCTCTTTTTTTTTACCCCTTTTTAAATATGTTTCGGAAAAATGCGTGGGGGGGGAAAAGTCTACTTAACAAAACACGTTTCTTTTTAGACCCGTTTGGGTCTGTGCGGGCTTATCATTTAAAAACCCGATTAAGCTCGGGGTCTGGGGGCGGGTTTGGGTTTGGAAATTTGTCGGAAAAAGACAAAAGTTTCTTGACGCGGGGTTTTGTCTGTGATGCCCCCACTGGGGGCTTTTGGGCAGCTACCCAGGCCTCGCTGGCTCCCCTCCACCCTTTAAAATTTTTTGTTATGATTATAACCTTTTTTTATATATACTAAAGCGTAATGCCAAAATAGAGGGGATAAAGGTGCACATGCAGACAACCATTAATTGGGGCATCGTTTTGCTCGCACTGACAAAACGTATACACAAAAGACCTTGTTCTGCAAACCCCTTTTTTCTTTTGTTTTTCCCCCATCCTGTGGGTGTCCACCCACAAGCAGCAACAGTTGGTGGGTGACAAGAACCTTGGTTATCTTGGGCAATGTTCGTTTCTCGATTTGTCACAATTGTGCATCATTTGAGCTGTGTTGAAAGGCTGAAAAATTTGGGTTGACTTTTTGCAGGTTTCAGTGGTGTTGTAAAAAGTGTTGGTGAGTTAAGCGGTATGCCGGGGGTAAAAAAGGGGTTTCCTAATTTTTTCCTGACAGCAGAAATATAATATGCAACTTAAGTGGTTTTTAAGCAAATTCCTTTACAATCAGTAAGCCACTTACTTCCCAGGAGAGAAAGAGTAATTTTTACTTGGAGACCATTTAGGTTACCCCACTTCTAAAAAAGGGGGTGTAAAGAACTTTCACTTCGGGGTTTTTAAGTTTAGAGAAGCACAAATAACAATAATACTTTTTAAGGATAATTCAAGTGTATTAATAAAAAGGGTTGGTTAATAATTACCCCAACACTTAATATTTTAACACAGAGAATAAAACAATTTTAAGGAAAATTAATTTATAATTGTTGGGGGAGCATAAAGAACTTAAACACTTGGTAAAATCCACTTTACAATTTAATGTCTGCAACTCTAGGTTCCACTCGACCTCCACTCCCCAGTCCTTAAACCTCTTGTACTGCTATCTTACACCAGACAGCCAGGAGACACCACTCTGTCCCCCGTCCCCCAGCCTTATTGACTTCTCTCCTTTCCCCTTAACCGAAACGGGTCAAAAGAGGTCATGACCTTTCCCTCCCCAAAAATGTTAAAGTGTTTGATCTATAACACTTTTGATTGTTTGAAACCTAAAAGACATAGAGTCACGCTCTCAGTTGAAAAAGCAATTCAACAGATATGTGTTCACTCATTTTGCCTTTGTCACATCTGTTTTCCTTTTAAATAAAACAAGGTCCTCAACCTGCGATTTCCCCAAATAAAGTATTCCATCTTGAAATTAAAAAACGTTATAAAACAGAAGGGGACGGGAAAATTCATTTCCTAAAAGCAAGAGGGAATGCCATCAACCGAGTTAGATATTTACACTTGTATTAGCTATAAATGTGGTCTTATTTATATATTTCAAAGTTTATGTACACACACACACCACACACAACACACACAACACACACACCACACACAAAATAT